GTCACTCCTTTGGAAACTAACTTCACAGAACTAGATGAAGATTTGGAACAGCCGAAAAATCTTGACCCTCAACAAGAGTATGCGAGAATATGGAATATTTCCAAGAGTCTAAAAAAAATTCGGCTGACATAGTAGAAGAATATCGAAAAATGTTTGCCGACATACAAAAGACTCCAACACCAGATGAAAATATTCAGCATAGAATGGAAGTACTGAAAGAAAATGTACACAAATACAACAACCCTTTTTACTTACGAGCATTTAACGTTCAATCTTCGGATGAACTCGGTGAAAATAAAAGGTTAAATTTCAAGAAAACATATAGAAATGAAACATTGTTTAAAGTTCATTCAGAACCTAACCAAGATGGAAACAAACCTACTTTTGTTTCTGCAGACGATGGAACTACAATGAGATGGGGTCATAAAGCTAACCCGGATAGGTGGTTCATAAACTTACAACCACAATTCCAAGAAGTTGTAGACGCAATGGAAGTCAATGGTGAACCAGATATAGCTGGTATTTTCAGCGCGGCTTTAATGCCATTGAAAGATATGAAACATGCAGATATTTTGGACCAGTATGAAATGAACATGGCTGATGGAAATATAACACCTGACGTTCTAAAACATTTATCTCAAAGAACTACACAGAACCATAGAGATGGTATATTTGGTGAAGAGTTTAGAAAGAAAGTTAGGGAGGGCGAAGGAAGAGAACCTATTGTACATGACCTTGCAAACGAAAGTTTACAAAATGTCATAAAAACTTACTTTGCAGACAATGAAATGAGAAGGATGAATATTTAAGAAACTCAAATGGACAGTACCAAAATGAAATGTTAGTATTGAAAAACATGTTCCTTGACAAAATAAAACCAACTACAGAAATAAACGACGCAAGACTGAAAGATTGGGTAAAAGCTTTCCCATTCACAAAAGATATAGTTGGTAACATGGAAAGAAAACCAGAATGGCTTACAAAAACATATATTTGGAAACGAGCTTATTCCATATGGACAGGCTCTGTTTGAAGAGCTTGAACCGGAAACTCAGGAAAGAGTCATGCAAACAATACGCGAAGACTCAAATACAAACTATGACAAACTCTTCTAGGATATAGGGTACCTGAGATGGGCGACCAGAGCCCAAAGGCAAAAAGGACATGGGAAATTTACAACATACTAGGTGAACATGAGGCAAAGATGCAACAACTTGAAGCAGAGGGCAAGTTACAACAAAGCGACACCAAAGAAGAAGAGTAGAACAAAGTGAAAGTAGTGAAGAAGTAACTTCATCTAGTGAAAGTAGTGGCAATGAAAGGAAAAAGAAGAGTTAAAAACTCAGTCAGGAAGAAAGTAAAGCTTGGTCCACGTGGGTTCTATTATGACATATAAATCCAACTATTCTATATTTTTACTCATATGAAATGTACGCCGCTCAGAATATAACGCCAACAGTTTTGGATGCTATGAATGGAAATGTTTCCGAATGGTATAACGAATGCGACAATGCCATTTAGAAGGTCAGAAATAGTTCCTGGAACTTACGAATATACAACTGCTGTTTCTTATGGAAACGTAGGTGAGTTGGAGAAGGTTCTTCAACAACAGTAGATATTGCTTGCGACAGGTTTCATAATTATTTCTATTGACAACTCATTCTTATACGTGGAACAAGACATTGAAATAAAACCTTCTGCCAAGTTGTCTGACAAGAAAAGGTTGCAATGGATTGTCTATGTCGATACCAATATGCTCCAGAAGTTTTCATGGGATATAAGATATATTCTAACTCTGACTTAGTTCAAACAGTAACATGGGCAAACTATGAATGGTTCGCTTTGAGAAACTCAGTACAAACCACAAGCTAGAGAACAAACAGACCAGTATGCAACTATTGAGAAAATAAGAAGACTTGACCCTAACGTTCCAGGAGTTTATGTTAACCTTTCTGGTTCAGATGGAACTGCTGCCACTAAAGTAAAACTGAAACTTAGAGTTCCTTTGTCATCTTTCCTCATCTTCAGGTTTTTAAGATACTTGCCAAACTGGGCAGGAAAAATTTCTATCGAACTTACCCCAAGCAAAAATAACTTAGTCATTGCACCAACACAAGACCCATTCACTATTACAGAAGTAGTGGGAACAAATAAAATGTCATTCGCCGACTTTTGCAAAGACAAAGTTGACTTAGACTTTGGTTTCTCAAACCTCAACACTGAAGTAAACTATTATTTCAATGCTGCTGGAACTGCTTGGGACCCAGTTAAGTTTACATGCGAAAAGTTTGAATGCAAGAGAATAGAAAGCAGACTTGCAGTCTATATGTTGGACCCAGATATTTCAAATGCTTTAGCTGCCAAATATATTGCAGTTCCACTTATGTTCCCTATACACCAAATATCTGTCAAAGACTTTGCAGGTGAAGTTGGAAACCAAAGTGCTGACCCAGGTGCAAGAACAGATATTGCTTTAACAACTGCAATGAAACATGCAGATACTATGTTTGTACTGTTCAGACGAACTATAAATGACTATTTGTTTCTACAACCCCGGTATTAAATATCATATAAACATAGATGGCAAATATTATCCAAGAGAAGAATATTCTACAGTTGAGGATATGAGGTCATACAACTTGACATTAGATGCTATGAACTTTAACAACAACTTCACAACAACCATTAACCCTGAAATGCAAAGTTCTATTATGCCATATGTGAAAGTATGGACCCATACAGGAAGTCAAAAACTCAATATACAAATGGAGACCGTTCAAACTTTTGGCTTGGCATTCCATTTGCTGACTCAGAAGACTTTATGGGTGGTATTTCAACTGTTGGTACAGTTCAAATACAATATACTGGTGACAGAGACGGTCCAGATGAATTGAAAGCAAAGAAGTTTACAAAACCAATAGCACTTTTCACGGAAGATGCTCTTTTGAAAATTCGTTCGATGAAACCTGCTGGGGCTCCTCAGATTGGCATAACGACAGCTTCCATCGAGCAGATTTTGGCAGCAGGTCAGTAAGTTGTTCTTGAACTGACTTCTCTCCGTCAAATATTGACAGTACGCCAGTTTTGACATAAAATTGTAAGATAAACTTTCCTTTAGAAATATCGGTCAGTTTTTGTTGTTATATTTTTGTCAACGTCAAGAACTTTCACCATCTCGGTTATACCAACTTTCTTTGCTTTATGGAAATATTTTGGTTCAGCAAATATTGCTATTCTATAACATTTACCATTGTTTGTATAAAGAACTATATTCTGTCAATGTATTTGTATTGTTTGTGTGTGTAAACTTTGTTCTGCTTCAATTCGAAGAGATACTCAAATACGTCCATCTTTTTATTCTAAGTAAAATGTCATTTCCGAAAAATAGAAGCGTAAGTGTTTCAAAAGGTTTAATGCGGTGGCAGATGTGAAGTTAAATTCACCAACTCAAACAAAACAGTCAAAGTGTTGTGTCAATGTCAAAGAAAGAGATGTTGAAGTGGGAAACCATACGAAGACGAAGATGGTATAACAATAGTTCCTGTAAAAGAACAACCAACATACCCTGAAGTTAGCAGAGACTTAAGTTCTGTTGCAGATATTCGAAATGACTACCAACAACTGAAAGACAAACTTCAAACTCAGAGAAGATTTGTCAAGCTTTAAGTATAATGTTAAACTTGGTCGAACACAACCCTGTAAAAATGAACTCATATGTCATCGCACCTCATGAAATTTGAAAGAACTATTTGAAACTTTTGACAGAGGCAGATGATATAAACATCAAAGAAATAGAACCCGACATTAGTTGCTGTGGTGTTTCATATAATGTCATTGACAAGATATACGTTATGAAAGGAGGTGAAACGTTGAACTTAAAATATAGTTTCCCAGACGTCATAAAAATATTTGACGACCACAACATTTCATTAAAATTTACTTGCTAAGTAAAAAATGGCAGAAGACATAGTGGTTTATACTATTACGACTAAAAACCCTGAGTCATATAATTCTATAACAACAAACTTACAAAGTCCTCAAGGACGATATTGTAAACTGACCTTAAACACGATGACGACTAAAGCCTGTTTTGCTCTTTTGACACCAGAAGGACTTTGTTGTTGTGAATGGTAAAAAATACTTCTTTGAAGATACTTACTCAGATATACCACCAACAGGTTTTGTTGACTTATTTAATACTTTAAGACGGATGTAACATGTGCTGCAACTAGAGCAGGTTTCATTATGTTTGGATGTCCGACTGAGTTTAGTATAAACGATATGAGCTATAATACAAAAACTTATATCTGGTTTTTACTACCACAGTTTCCTATAACAGGAAAAGGTGTCATACAAGGAATGTCTATTCCATTGACATTAAGCAGAGATTAAATAAGATATTTAACTACATTAAGATGACCATTTTCTGACGCAATTAAAATACAACATGTAATATCACATCGATACTTTTCAGATATTTAACCACTTCAAGATGGCCATTTTGTGATGCACGAAAAATAGGACTATCTCCATTAGTTTTATTACGCCAGTTCTTGTCAAATCCGGTTTCAATTAAATATTTAACGATGTCAAGACGTCCATTAGCTGATGATAAAAGTAAGCAATTATTTCCGTTTTATCAATTGCATCTTTGTCACATCCTGATTCGGTAAGAGAT